AATTTGGAATCCAATATAATAAAACAACTGATTTCTAGATTAAAAAAAATGGTTTATAGGTAAATAATCATGGCACTTCACTTAGATATAGCATGTGAGGTAAATGACATCAAAGTCTTTACATGCATACCCAAACAAATTAGCAAAGTCTATAATAAAAGCTGTGGTGGGGCCCATAGTCACCAGTGTTGGCATTTCACAAGACGCCTACGAAGGTTTCCTTATGGTTACCTTTTGCAAGCATTGCAGCTGGTACAATAATAATTGCTGTGCCAAAGAGAATTGTGAAAGCGCAGGACACAGGAAAACCAGAAAAGGAATTTTGTGACAAGAATGCCATGCAATTTTTCACATACCAGCAGAGAAAATTAGATTTCTAAACAGTGAGTGAACCGTTGCTTTCCAGGGTACTGCAGCCACTGCCAGGACAGAAACAACCCCTCACAGCCCATGGGATGTTCACAACAAGCAGCAGCTGAGCATGCCCAAGGAGAATGGTGGTAATTAATTAATGATTTCGTGCTTCCGTGCTGAAAGAAATTATGCCTGTACATGTTACTAGTGGGTAAAAACCTCACATATCCATAAAAATGCATATAGAGTAGCTCCGTTATTGATCAGAAGAACTTCTAGCCATTTTGACTAGGACACCTTAAGAAGAACATCTTTACCCAGTGATTGGGTCTTACTGGGAGAAATTAATTGTGTTGATTTGGCACTGCCTGATTTTTTGGTAGTGGGAGAGAGCCATAGGGGTAGCTTCTGTGAGAAGCTGTTGGAAGCTTCAGCCATGTCCAACAGAGCCAATTTCTGATGGCTCTGAAGATAGACGTGCTGTTGGGCCAGTTAGAGAGGTTGGTGATGCCTCTGTGATGATATTTAAGATGAAAATCAAAACATCACATGGACAGTTTTTTCCCAGGAGTGGTGAAGGGCTGCTGTCGGGGCCATCCCTGGCACAGCACATGGCATTGCGCTGCCAAGGCTGCGCCATCTCCATGTGGCCCATGGAGAGCTCTGCCTGCCTTGCTGCCCCTGCAAGCCATGGTGAGGACCATGGTAAAGCAAACCCTGTCCCCTGGAATGCATGAAATGCACGGGAGTACAGAGATCCACTCACAGCCCATGGGAAAAGGGCTCATTGCCAGAGTGGGTGGATGCCAGAAAAAACTGTGATCCAGTGGGAGACCCGAATAGAGAGAGAGGGTCCCCACTTTGAGAGACAGAGAGAGAGGGCTCCTGCTTCCAAAGATATGGAGAAACGGCCCTTGCTTCCAAACTAGAGCAGCCTCCCCTTCGAGGACAGCACCCCATGGATGAGTGACCCATGCCAGAGCAGTTTTGGAAAAACTTTGCCTGTGGGAGGGACTTGCAGCATAGCAGAAAAAAGATTGCTCTCCCTGAGTGAACAGAAAAGGATCTCGAGTGATGAACTGACCAAAACTCCCATGCCCTGTCTTTCTATACTGTTGCTGGGAAGGAGGGAGTGGTTGGGGGTGGGGGGGGAAAGGGTGTTTTAAGGACTTACTTTACTTGTCATTATCCTCCTCCAACTCTGTTAATAATAAATTTACTTTACACCTTTCAATTTAAACCTGTTTTTTTCCTATTTTTTCTCCCAGTCCTTATCTAAACTCATGAACCTTTCATTAATTCTTTTTTTCCCCCCTCTCCTCTGCCCAGCTGTAGCAGAAGAAGGTAAGCGAATGACTCTTGTGGGTGCCTGGCATTTGGCCAGTGTCAAACCATGACATTCACCTTGGCCTCAATTCACAGCTCAGTCAGAAAGTTTACAGAGGCCTCTTGGGTGTTTGTAACACTCAGTTAAGTAATAGAACAAATAAAACCACTGTCTTGAGATAATGCACCTTCTTTTATACAAACATTTAATTTCAAAGTCTTAAATAGGCAATAAAACAATATTTAGTCTTGTAAGTCTTCTTTGGTTAGGTTCACAATGTACCTGCCTACCAATTACATTCCCTGCAGTCAGAACACCTAGAAAACTCTATTTATTAGCAATCCATCCCAAAATAAATGTACCACTTGAGTCAAAGATAATCTGTTCTGAAGGAGACTGCTAAGACAGCTCCTGGGATAAAAGAGGGTAAAGTTCTCTTGAATATTAACCTAAAAGAAATAAAAATAAATGCTTTGCATTTCAGAAGTAAATTCTTTCACACCCTTATTCTTGTTTTCATCATTCAGACATAGGCTGTGACCTCTGCTGAGGTCCTCACAGAAGTAAATACCCACTGACCCCCTTCTTACTGCAGCCTTTGGATAGCAAAGTCTGGAAGATGATGAGACCCCCACATCCTTTGCCCATACACACAACACAGCATCTCAGGCTGTTTCAATATTTTACCTGCCCTTTAAGGGCCCCATACAGAAGTGAAATGGTTGTTACATGTGTGCAGCTCCTGCCTTATGAGCCATGTAATCCTATTTAGTGTTGTAGCTGTGTCACACATGAATTGGTGGCTCTGTGCAGTGCCTTGTTCAGTGATGGCAGATAATAATGCCTTTGGTGTGCAACACTCAGCTGAGGCAAGCTTGGAAAGTGTTAACTCTGAGGCAGGATAATATTTTATTTGGTTGAAGTAAAAAGTAAACCAATACAGGATTTACAGCAATTTAAGGCTTAAGATGAGATCAGATGCCTGTCATCTCCAAACACCTCTCAATCAGCAAAAAATAATCCTTCATGAAGTGGATTGTTGTGTTTTGGTGCAAATTTTTTTGGGTAAAATGGGCCAAATTGTTATTTTCCTGTAAAGTGGAGGGAGGTGAAGCATAAACGCAGCTGAAAACTTACCCAGGGCTTCTGGCAAGTGTGGGCCAGAAGCGTGTGATTTGTGCTGATTACCAGATCCCTGCATTTCATGAATCCCAGATGATGATTTGCAGGGGGGTCTCTTTAAAAGGATGCAGGAAGTAAGAATTATCATCAGCTAATGAAGAGGGCAGAGAAATGAAAATGGAGCCAAAGGGAGAGGAAGATATACTCATTTTCCTGAGAATTAGTGCATTAGAGCCACCTGCTTACAGGGTTAACTTTCTTCCTCTCTATTTCAAATAAGGGGAGTCAACCTGACCTTTACTTTCAGATCTGAGAGAAGCCTTGAAAATGAGAACAGTGAGGCTCTCCAAATGCAAACACTGGCTGAAGCAGACCTATTTATAAATAGTTTAAGAGAACACCGTGAACTAGAGAAGGAGGGGAATTTCCCCCCGCAAGTTTGCTGCCTCACTGAACACAGCGACAAGCTTGAATTTGCTCTCTTACATACCAGGAGACCTGTAGCAGAAAATGAAGTTAAATCTACAAACACAGGACCCAATGCAGCCAAGTGGCACCAGCTCCAGTTTTGCTGCAGTGCATGAAGGGGCTATTCTGCAGAGAATGCCCCTGGTTCAACATGCTCAGCCTTTAGTTAATGGTCCTGCTTCATGGGAACAGACCCTGGACAGAGCTGCTAAGGGGAACAATCCCAAACTAGCTCAAGTGGCTCAGAGGACATCTACCTCTGAGAAGGGTACAGCCTCCCAGGCTGCATTCATCAATCTCTTCCATCTCTCTCCAACCTAAAAAGGTTTTGTTTTTGATTTTTTAAAAATAAACTACAAACCATTCAACTGCAATAGTAAGATTAAAAATTCATGAAGTGAGGAACTAACCCAAAATAGCAGCACCCCAGCCCTAATATATTCTCTTAAGAATTCAGATTTATCATAGCCCCCAGCTTGCTACACAATTTGTAGCCACATCTTCTGCTACCCACTTCTGCTGGGCTGCTACTTTCAGTTTTGAACCTTAGCCCTACAAGGAATTCTCTGAACAGAAGGTTAACCTTTGTTTTAAAGGATGTCATAAGTAAAAACAAACTCCAGCCTTGCAAAATTTCCCTGTTTGTATGTTTTTGCCCCAATTACTCAAAAAAAGTAATCCAATAGATTAAATTTCCATTTCTGAGAAGTGTTATCTAGCTGCAAACCAGTGGTAATGTCACTGGGTAGATGATATAGTCACTAAAGTGCAGTTACTTGGTCAGCACAAATGGCTTTGATGCTGGAAAATACATTACAAAAGAAGCATTTCATCCCTTTTCTGTCTGCCCTCCTACATAAACAAGGCAACTTTCTGGGGCCTGACAGAGTAGATGACAGAGAGAATTGGCTGGTGAAATTCTGTGTGACTTCAGAATAATACCTACCTACCTGTAATTATTGCCATGTTTTGGTTTCCCCTATCTGCAGACATCATAGCATCTCTCTCACCTCTCTATGAATCACAACAGAGGCCATTGGAGCATACCAGGACTGGGAACAGAAGTTATTTAAGGGTGAGATGCAGGGAAGAGGAATGCACGCCTTTGACACATCTCTATAAACAAAGGTTAACCCACTGTCCCCTCTTTTGCAGGTTATTCCAAAAGTGTGGTGAATTTTACCAACCTGGACATTTCCAGCTATTTGTATGTATCTTCTGTTTCCCATCTCATTTCTCCTGAAGCCTCTCTAACAAACTTCATGGGTGATCTCTGGGGTCAAGGTGATATCTTCTATTTGTATTTCATGGCTCTCAGTAGAATTGTTTTCCATGGACTCATCTGGTTACTCCTGAACTCAGGAGGTCTACTGAGACTCAGCTGTAGAAAAGACTGAAAATGAGAAAATCTTTTTTGCTATGAATAGTAGTCACAGACATGCTCCTCTCTCCAACCAGCTGCCTGAAACATCCCTCTCCATTTCATAGAAAATGATCTTGTATGTGGGTTAGCTTGAAGGGTCATTGAGCAAGTTGCTGGCTGCATCAATGGCAAACTCGCTCTTCCAGGATAACTGTGGCCAAGTTACTTTAATTTCTCACAGGTCCATTCTTGGACTCATTGAAAATAAGAAAAAAAATAAAGAGGTGAGCTCACTCTCTTGGTCAGGCATGTAAGTCCACATCTTAGACAATCTGCTGATGAAGAGTCAGGGTCTCAGAAGTTCAAGGACGTCTCAGGGCCTCTGAAATCAGCTCCAACAGGGCCCAGTAACACCTGGAGTGGTGAGGAAAGGAATCCTGACACTTTTTGTGCCTGCACCAAAGTCTCTGACAGAACTGGCAAAGCACTGAATTTATTTTCTTTAGATTGAGCTGGTTAGAGCAACAGCTGGAAAGGTGAGTGTCTTTAATTAAGTTGACAATAATTTATGAGTTACATTGGATGTTTCACAATAAAGAAATGTTTATTAATAATGGTTTTAAATCTCAGTTCCTGTTTTAAGCAAAATAAATTTAAGTAAGCAGTCTCAGCTGAACTTCTGGTAAGAAGGAGTTTTCTGGGAAAATTAAGTTAAAAAAGAAAAAAGCGACTCAGAATTTACTAGTGTACATTCATCATCCTTAAGTTTTGTGAGGAATGTAGCACGATGTAGCACTCACACATTTCACAAAGGTTATCAAAAGCCACTGGCCACAGATGAAATTCCCTTGGGTGAGAATTTGGAATCTTGTAACCTCGCTCTCATTTTTATTTTCTTAGTACTGCAAATGTATTTTGTACATACACATATGCATACACACACTATGTATATTTACATATATACACTTCTATATATAAATTGTTCCTGATGCAAAGCAGTTTGAGAGTTTCCCTCCATAAATAAAGTGTCCAGTTCAAGCTGGCAAGCTCTACAGAATGCAGCATATGAGATGGAAAAGACAGTAGCTAAACACTGGTTTTGTTATTGGAAAAGGATTAGTTTCCTATATACATCAAATTCCTTCTGTAACCATGGGTAAATGAGTTAATACCAGACATTCAGAGGGCTTTAGGTTAGCAAAGATGTAAATAGAAAACTTACAGGAATTTCTTTAATACCTGATGCTCAGGGGAACTGGACATCTCAGGGGAATTTTGAGAATTGCTCTGTGCGCCTCTTTCTCACCTAATTTGCTTCAACAGATGAAGTTTTCTTTGTCTTGGCTCTTCCTATTTAGAAAATGTCAAAACAAGCGATTTCCTCCCTCACCAGGAAGGATCAGGAGAGTGAGGGACTCCAGCAAACACATCACTGAAAAAAGGAGATAGATGGAATGGGAAAAGTTTAATGTATTGCTGCTCACCTTTATCAGACATGAATGACCTGTGAAATATTTATCATCAGAACCACTGTCCTCACATGGGCAACACTACCCAGAGCCTGGACAGCATTACACCTCTCCTTCTTTTCCACTGAGCAGGAAATGCTGCTGGAGATTTGGAGGAGAGGAAGGCTTCACACAGGAAAGCAGGGCTCGGGTCCAACACCTTTCCTCAGCAGTGACAGGGTGTGTAGCTGGTCATGAGGGTCTACTAAACACACAGAGCTGAAAACCTGCCCCCACCTCACAACAGACCTGAGACCTGTCAGGAACTCACTGTTCTGTCAGCATTCATCACAGGACTACTACGGTCCAAATGTAAATGTCCCAGGCAGAGTTCTGGGATCATGGAGTCATTGCACCAGATTATATGAATCTGGCACATTTATATTTTTATTTTCTACAAGCTGTGGTCCCACACAGAGATGTTCTCAGGTTGCTATTCTCTCTAATGCAATAAAGCTATCTGTGCTCTCTGCCCTTAGGTTCAGTTTCCCATCTATGCTCAAGAATTATTACTAAAGTAAGTACTGGAAATGCACCTCTCAGCACACTTGCACAATATTTAAAGGAAAAAAAAACACTTTGGTTATTTCAAACAAAAGCTGACACACATCTCTGACAGTGAAATTAGGAAGGAGTTTCACAATAAACCAATCTGTGAGCAACAGAAGCTGCAAAGCCTTGTTGCCTTTGGCTCCCTGGTTCAGGGCTGGGCTAATCTCCGGGTAGTAGCACACAAACCCCAAATCAGAACATCTCCTACAGCAGCAATACTTTTTCTATGAGCAGTCTGAGGGATTTGGAGATTTACTTGAGATTACAGGTCAACTTTTGTTCCTGATTGAGTGGCATGGATTTAATCTCTCCTCAGTGTCTTATTTTACTATTGCTGACATACCTAGCTGTCTTGTCAAATTTGGAAGGAACTTAACAACATATTCAGGTGTAGAGACTTACAGTGTGATGCTGGAAATCTCTTTAGGAAACCAGGCTTCCAAATCCTCCAACAAAACAAAGTCATTGTAGTTTGACTTGTCTGCTTCAGCTGTGTTAACTCGTGGGAAGTTACTGAAGCAAGTTCACGAACCGTCACTGATGCACAGCATGGGAACCCTGCTGATTGTAATTGCTGGGAGCATTGGTTGGAGCATTAAGTGACGGCCATTTATTGGACTAATAAACACAGAGTTAGTGTTCCTATAGGAAACACCAGCAACTTTTGAATCAAGACAAACGAAGATGGAAGATCTTTCCTTATGGATGTAGTATCTGCAAAGGAGCAGCTGAATTTTGTTCATCAGAGGCATAACATCTTTCTGAGTAACATTTCCAAAATGAAGGACTACTGAGAAATCCAGACATTGCCCATTTTCTCTCTAGGATATATCCTGCTGGGGCTTTGTACAGGTCATTAATATATTATCTGCTGAGCCATAAGACAACAAGCAAAGCCAGAGAATTGCAGTCTAGTGAAATTTGACAAGAGTCGAGGATGCATGGGTTTGCTACTTAAATAAATACATGTTTAAATATTTAAACAAAAATTTTGGTTTGAAAGGAAAAGCTCCATGTGAGGGAGAGGTCAGATGAAAGCTGATGTTTTCTGGACCAATAACAGAAATAACTACTGATCCAAAAAAACTTGAATACAGGAAGCTCTGCCAGGTTCAATTTGAATGGATAATGAATGGCTGAACTAGTTAAGTGAAAAGACATGTTATGTGATGCTAATATGTAAAGCTCTAAAAGGAGGTAGTTGATTTGCTTTGATCAAGTAAAGAAAGAGATCCCCACCTTGGCTCTTCCCAGCAGAGATGGTTATCTTGGCAAAGCTGAGGAGGAGAAGTGGCCAGGCTTGCTGTGAGTCAGTGTCAGCAGTCTTCTGATGGCTCCCCGTGTGACCTTGTTGTGCAGGAAGACCATGAGACAGAAGAGAGCAGTAACCTGAGTAGGAGTAATTCCACGTTGTTGCCCAGACAGTGTTATTCCCCTGCACCCTGGGGGGCAAATCACAGCGTTTCACATGGCAATGGCAGCTCCTATTCACCAATACAGCATGGATTGTTTCACAGCAGCCCCAGGTATCCCCAATGAACATGACTGTCAAACACCACCATTCTGTTTCCTAGGCTTCAGTAGAAAAGCTTCATCTGCTAGCAAAACACTCGAAATTAGCTCTGAACATTAGCAACCAAATGACCAAAATATGCATTGTTTCTCAATCCTCTCACAGGGAGGGTGATGCCCGAGCTCTGGGAACTCAGTGTTTCCCTCCCTTCATGTTCTCACCAGTAGAACCTCTCACCTACCTCAGTTGTGTTTGTACCCCCCACACCCCTTTGACTCCAGCTTTTTACCAAACTCCAGCCCCTATTGGGCAGAAATGGAAGAATAAGTGATTGTGAGAATATCTTGAGGGAGTGCAATCAGTGACTGAATCCAAATACAGTTACTCAGCTATTGTTCTTTCAGTCCCATGCCTGAGAGAAAATGCAATTCTGACCTTTGGCTATTTTGTAATATAAAAACTGCTGATAATATAAAGACAAACACTTTCTTGTGTACTTGTGGGAGACATCTGCTGAAATCACAGGAAAATTTCCCATTATTTGAGCAACTGAACTTTTCAGAACTCCTTGCAGGTGTCCAGCACATTAGCATTAAAAGTTGTTCTCCCATTTCATGGAGTTGCATGTACAGTGCTTGTCAAAAATCAGGCATCTTTGGTTACACAAATTCTAAAAGTTGCTTAAACCTGCAATGTTCCTGAACCAAACACTTCACAGGTCTTTGTTCCTTTGCAACACTATGTGCTTTATTAAATAGCATAGGGCTTAAAATCACAGTATATTTTAAAAAATTATATAAAATGTTTCACATGTCAAATTAGAAGTTACACAGAAAAACTTCATGTGGACCATCTGTGTTTGACTGCTGAGATAATATTAATTTCTGGAGTTCTGGGTCACAAAATTCTACTCATTTCAAAAGCTAGCTAAAAGATCACTTGGATTTTATCCTGTTGGCTTGAATCTTGTGTATCTTGTACAACTTCCTGGCTGTGTAGATGACATGTTGCAGCAGTAAGCTGCAGAACACTTAGAGGAATAAAACTGAGCAGTATTTGAACACTGGGGCAGTTTTCAAAGGGCATTGCAAATACACTCAATCCATCATTTGTTTTGCATTTCTCTAAACCACATATATTCCCTGGGAAATGTAAGTAAATTTTGATGGGGATAAGAATGGAAGAGGGCAAGGGAGGGAAAGCAAGAAAATGTAAATACTTGAAGTGGAATTAATATCGAAGAAATAGTTATTTGTGCTAAATAACTATTCCCAGGCTGAATATTAAACATTTTCTATTCAAGTATAAACCAAACTATCTGTGTAACATAAGCATAGATGAGAAACAGGAATTTGTTTCAAGTAAATATATATTTTTCAATTAAAATAATCACTCAACCAATTTTACAATTTAATCAAATCTCTGCATGACTGCTGGGATTTTTTGTATATATCAAGCCTTTGGGTACACACTGGAGCATCAGAGGGTGGGGACTGTCCCAGTGCTCAGGGCGGTTCCTAGAAATTCTTGAGTTGCCTTCTGAAGTCCTGCACATGCTTTCTCTGTTGTATACTGACAGTGACTCTTACTGATGTGGGGCCAGGAAACTGAAGCATTCATTTCACCTGTCTTGGCCTGAGAGAACTCCCTGCATCCTTTTTGCTTCCCATTCCCTGACTCACACACACTGTAGTTTATTTTGTGTAGCTGCTTTCTTCCTTCCCCTGTTGGGAAAACTTTTAAGGTTTTGTCTGGCCCTAAAATGTAATCTAATAGAAGTAGGAAGTATCCAGCTTTGGAAAATTACCTGGACAAGAGGGCAAGCATGGCTGTTCTTCCTGCTGTCCTCCCTACTGCTAGAAATCTTGGTGTCGAGGTTGTGTCTGAGACATCATTCAAAAGCCATTCATGAGCCACCAACCATGGGCTTGTGCAGCTCCTTTTGATCCCATTCATGCTTTGACTTCCTCAGCTTCCAGCAGCAAGAAGTTCCATGAACAAATTGTGCTTTATCTGGACAGGATCACAACAAACCAAACAATGCTCGCACAGGTGGCGTTTTGGCTTTCCTCCCTGGTCTGCTCAGTCCACTCCCCAGCTGCAGACAGCCATGGAAGGGAGGCAAACAACCTCTGCAGGCACCTCAAGCTGAGCACAGGCACAGGGGACATGCCAAGAGCCTTGATCCAACCAGCCACTCACAGCTCCTCCTCTTCTAGTGCAAAGAGAAATCAGAGAATGGAGAAGGAAGGTTTCCATTCATGCTCGTGCTGTGCAGTGGAACCACTGCAGTTACAGAACTTACCCCAGTGCCAGTTCTGAGTCTCCCTCAACCCCAACCCTTCCAACAGTGTTTTCTGTAACAATTTCCATTCTCCTTCCCTTCTTCTGGGACAGAAAAGGGTAAAAGGAAAACATACAACATTCTTGGGCAGGGAAGAAACTTTCCCTGGTGTGCTTTCAGAGCAGGCTGGCTGTCCTTGGAACTGTGGTAGTGTTCAAGCCTCATTGTACCTCTCCATATCCACAAGCTCCTCCCATGTCTATTAATCCTTCAAGGTGGATGGGGAGCAGAGATAAGCTCAGGCTTTTGAGATGGTCAGATGATCAGAGGCAGGAGGGTACTTCATAAAGCTATTGCTAGTGAAGATCCAAGGTTTCATTCCTTAGTCCTCCTCCAAAACGTAACACATTCAGCTCATTTGTCCTGCAAAGCATCCCCTGGACCTAATGATGTTATACAAACATGATGGTTTTTTTTGCAAGACAAAACAGCAATAGGGGATGAAAATCAAGTGCTGGCAAGAAAAGCCTTGCTAGAACAAAATAATTTCCAGATTGGAGAGCTGAGGGAACATTATCTTCAGAGAAGTAGGTTTTTGAGTTACTTTGATCAAATGAGCTTCAAAAGTGATTGCAGCCCCATAAGTATTTTCCTAAGCAGTATCCTGTGGGATGGGGAAGGACAGAATTCAGGCAGAAGCTTTTTCCTGTACAAAAGCCTTGCCACTGACATTGTCAAGGGATCTGTTGCACTCCATTGTGTCCATAATCTTCAAATTAAAGCTCCCTAAATCCACAATAGTCTAATAAACCACAAGCCTGTAACAGCCCCTTCAATTTTCCACGTTAATAATCCATGGATTAAGAGTCCCTCTGCTGCTACAATAGCCAGAACTGATCTTCTCTACTGTGTCAATGACCCATGAATTATAGGGCTGTGTCTCAGATGGTTAGATAATACTTCACTCAAGTCTCAGTGATAGATTTTTCTAACAGGGCAGATTCAGGACTCTGTTTTGAAGTAAAAGCACATCGTGGCATTCTCATTTTTGCAAGTGCTCTTCCTATTCCTCTTGACAGTATCCACACACAAAAGCACAGCCTCCTTTTTATCTTATCAATCCATTTGTTTTGCAATAAATGGCCTAGTCACCTTTCATTTACAACTGTACATTTAATATGTCATATGAAAGTTTAATGAGAGGCACAGTTTCCTAACTGGTTAATCAACTGATGCAAAATCCTTCTATTTTCTTGTAATAGGGCCTTACAATAGCCTGGAATATTTTATACTGATTTGTGGATAGCACCTCTTAACAGACTTGTATTGCTTAATAAACCTTTAATACCCATTTACTATGAAATACACACAGCATCTCCAGCAGTCAAAGCAAAAGGAGGCAGAGCAGAATCACTTCAGAACCGCTGCCCAAACCCATCATCTGTAAAACGTTTATCGACTTTTCTGATCAGGAAGGAGCACGCTTCAGTAACAGTTGCACCATTTCACCTTTGCAAATACCACTGCAGCCTGGGTTTTGTGCATGGATTAAAGTCAGGCACTGGCATGGAGAGTGATGGGTAGGAGCAGGCTCATTGTCTCCATGGCATTTTCACTGGGGGCACGCTCCCAGTCACACCTTGTCTGCCAGAACAGAATCCCAATGCAATTCCTTTTGTCCCCCTTTACTTTTTAAAGCAGAAACCTTCCTATTGAACTCAAAGCCACACAACTCATTGCACTTTGCTGCAGGGTTGTTAAACCAAGGAATGCCTGTTAGGTTATCCAGCCATGTCTTCATCAAAGCCTGGCTGTTCCATACCATATCTTTTACAACATTTAGCTCAGACTCCTATAACTTGGACCATTTAAAACTACACTGTCAGTTCTGCTAGACATGGGAAGAGGCTCTGCACTGTAAACAATCAGCTACTTTTACCCCTGCTACAACATCTTAATGTACATTGAACAAGAAGTTTGGGTTTATTCTGCAGGGCAATACATCATCTACTCAAAAGTTACAGCAGTAACACTTTGGGGCAGGTAAAGCTGTGGCCATGGCTCAGGTGCCATGGTGATTCCCAATAAGGAAGCATCCATTACTTTCTGAAGAAAAGCATTTACCGATTTTCTGGTTTTACAGACAGTCAGTGAAGGTCAGTTTTGTAAATCACCCCTAGAGGCTACGAGAGTTTATTAAATAAGGGTCCCAAGTAAAGACCTGTTAACATCGATTCTGGAGCTTTACTCTTAAATCTCTCAGTGTCAGAAAGATCAGTGCAGGATCTATAGACAATTAAAATTATAGTCAAAGTCACAGTGAGGCAATCACTGTGGTGGCTGATAGAGAATGAAGACAAATCTCTTCTGATGCAACAAAGGGATTGATAGGAACACAGAACAGTAACAGATGATGAATTTTTACTGTTTGTGTAGAAACTGTGACAAGCATCAAGCCAAAGTGAAGTAAGTTTTGTGCTGCTGGCTATCAGTTGTGATGTGATCCTGCAGTAAAACCCTGCAGTGCCACAAACAATTGGATTCCCCTTTGCTG